GGCGGTGGGGGGGGGGGGGGGGAATAAAAGGGAAATAGCAGAGCCACGGAGTATTGGTTCATCTGGGACTGGGATTCCTGGCAGGGAAAGAAAGAGAGGGAGAGAAAGAAAGAGCAAAAGAAAGAAGCAGAAACAGAGGGAATAGGAAAACTGGGAGAAAAACCTTCACCAAGGGCCTGGCCGAGGTATTTTATAATGCCACCGACCACAGAGACAAGGAGCTAGGAGGGAACGGGGGGCGGGGGGGAGCTATGACAGCTAGAGGAGAGAGGAGGAGGAGAGGAGCTAGCCCAGGGCACGCTGCGTTTTTGGGGTCTGGCAGGGATGGAGGGAGAAAGAGGAGTTGCTCAGCGGATAGAGAAATACCATTCCTGCTGGGAGCAGCAGGGCCAGGCACGGGGGGACTCCTCCAGAGCCCCAGCAGCCCCCGGCCGTCGCCCCTGCAGGCAGCGCTGCCCTGACCCCCGCCCGGCCTGATGCCCTCGGTGCCAGGGGCAGGACGGGGACGCTCCGGTCCCCCGCCCTGGGCAGGACGCCAGGCTGGGCACCGCTCCGATTCAAGCAGATGGGGCAGGCAGCCCTGCTCCCCCGGCGCCAGGGAAGGGACCGACCCCCGGCCACCCGCCCCGAGAGCTGGTTGCTGGATCCTGGCCTGGCACCATCAAGCTCCCATCACCTCCCGTACTCTACTCCTTACTATCTCCTTACTCCGAACATCCTCCTTACGGTGTAGCAGAGGTGCAGCTTCATAGTAAGAAAAACCCTTCCACCCATGGGGGATGTGGGCAAGCCAGCCCAGTTTCTCTGCACGATAATATCCAAAGGGCAAGATTTTGGGAATATGAAGGAGAACAAGCACCCGGGTACCGAAGGGAGCAGCACCGGCCCAAGCAGTGCTCCAAGGATGCTGCACCCCAGCCACCGCCGTGGTTCGGGGGTGAGGAGGAGGGCTGGGGCTAGCAGAGCACGTCTGGATCCGTGTCGCAGCAAGCACTGTGGAAGCGTGAGATGTTATCACAGCATGAGAGAAATATCAGGAAACCCCTAGGAAGACACAAAGAGAGATTACCAAAAAATCGTCTTTTGGGTTGTTGTTTTGTTTAAGGGAGGAAGATGAAGGACTGGCAAACAGAAACACATTCATCCCAAGGGCTGCAAACTGCAAACCTGGCAGGCTCTGGCCGGCCGGATCCTCACCCTGAGAGCCTTGCACGGCCCTGCCAGTTCGGAGCCGCTCTAGTTCATCAGCCCAACCGCTCTGGCTCAGCAAAGCCGGACTCTGAGCACACACCCAGCTCGGCAAAACCCAGGCGCTCAGTGTCAGGCAAACCAAACCTGCTTGGCTTCGTCTCCAAACCACCCGTGCTTTGCTCTGAGCATGGCCAAGAGTCACCTTGCCAGCTCCAAGGTCCAGTTTTAATCACTTAAA